TCAGCTTCTAGGCTGATGTCTTAGCCACTACACCAAGCTGGCTCTTTCATACCCTCACCTTTCCCTTCCATCTTTTCTGCTCTTGATACCCACTTCTCTGTAAACTTTCAGCAGCCAAGGAGAAGACAACCTTTACCTGGGGAGAAAGAGGAAGCAGGAAGGAAAGCAGACTTTCCTTACTGCAGCTTTCACAAAAATTAGGACAGTGCTTTCCCTCTTCTTGCCAATTCCAGTCCACTATCTTTGCAGTAAAAGTCCCTTTGACAACAGCTAGTCAGTTTCATATGTCAATGAAGATGCTCAGTTATTCCGGTAGAATTGTCTGAAAGCTGAGTCATGGCAACTGGACTTCTTTCTTTTCCTGTTGGTTAGAAACATGTCTCTGCTTATCCAAGTAGCTTTTTCAGTCTGAGTAAGTTGGTTGGAGGATACTGAAGGACATATAGGGGGTGGGGGGGGGGTCTACATTTAGGCAAGAAAAACAACATCACAGACACAGTATATGTTGTACCTTGCTCAATAGTAGTAACTGTGAGAGGGATCTTGGAGTCCTAGTGGACAATCGTTAAATATGAGCTAGCAGTGTGCAGCAGCTGCCAAAAAAGCCAACACAGTCCTAGGCTGCATAAACAGAGGGATAGAATCAAGATCACATGAAGGGTTAATACCACTTTATAATGCCTTGGTAAGGCCACACTTGGAATACTGCATCCAATTTTGGTCGCCATGATGTAAAAAAGATGTTGAGACTCTAGAAAGAGTGCAGAGAAGAGCAACAAAGATGATTAGGGGACTGGAGGCTAAAACATAAAGAATGGTTGCTGGAACTGGGGATGTCTGAGTCTGATGAAAAGAAGGATGAGGGGCAGGGTGGATAAAAATCAATGATTTTTTTAAAAAAATCAAAAAATCAGATTTTTTTGATTTAAATCGGATTTTTTTGATTTAAATCGGATTTTTTTTTTTATTTTTATCGAATTTATTTTAATAAAAAACTTTTGGGGTAAAAATCTATCGTAAGATAGTTTTCTATTTAAGATACATAAATAATTTAGTTTATTCAGCATGAAATGGAGCTTAGTTATGTAGCAGGAGGCTGTATATTCTGCAACACTGGGACTATCGGTGAGTCAACAGTGGGTCAAAGGAGTAGCAGTGATGACAGTTGCTCTTTAAAAATTATGATTTAAATCCAGTTGATTTAAATCAAGCCTTTGTACTAGTGATTTAAATCATGATTTAAATTGTGATTTAAATCAACTCAATTTAAATCAAATCCACCCTGACGAGGGGTGACATGATAGCGGTGTTCCAATATCTCAGGAGCTGCCACAAAGAAGAGGGAGTCAAGCTATTCGCCAAAGCATCTGATGGCAGGACAAGAAGCAATGGGTGGAAACTAATCAAGGAGAGAAGCAACCTAGAACTAAGGAGAAGTTTCCTGACAGTTAGAACAATTAATCAGTGGAACAACTTGCCTCCAGATGTTGTGAATGCTCCAACACTGGAAGTTTTTAAGAAGAGATTTATCTGAAATGTCTCCTGTTCAAGCAGGGGGTTGGACTAAAAGACCTCCAAGGTCCCTTCCAACTCTGTTATTCTAATTCTAATTCTAAAGGGGTGTCCCCCAATCAACTTGCTCAGACTGAAGAACCTACTTGCATAAGCAGCAAAACGTTTCTAAACAATGGGAAAAGAAAGGTTGCCCTGTTCCCATGACTCAATTTCTAGGCTCAGCTTCAGTTTGCTGGTTCCCCATGTCAGAATCCACAGGACCTGGCTACATTTAGTCATGATGGGGTCTGCCTACCTCCTCCCTGGGGTTGTTTCTTCCCTCCTGTTTCTCCTATTTTAACTTGGGAAATGCCAAGTAGAGTAGACAAATGAGGCAGGAAGAGGCTGGGAATGAGACTCACCCATTTCTGCTGCTCTGACTGGTGGATCTTCCAGGCTGGTGACAATTGACAGGGGACAGTTGGAGAGCCCAAGGGGAAAACCAATGCAGCAGAAGTGCACCATTGCATAGTGACTCAAAACAGATACAACAGAGACAGAATAGAGACTGGCAGTGAGGACCACAAATGTGTTGTGCCATCTTAAGGATAGGTGGATTTCCCTAAGTAATGAGGGAAGTATGAAGAACAATGTGCTTTCTAGCTGGCCTAATTTCTTTGTCCGATTTTGCCACTTTGGATTAGATTGCCAGGTCTGCATTTGTGACTTTTCCAAACTAGGGATTCATTTCTGAGATAATTTAACTCGCTGGCAGCATAAATCCCTTGCTGGTTATACAATCCCTATGGAATCACGTCATGCAGGGCTGGGGGTTGGGGAGCACTGAGTTCATTTCTACAAGCAATAAGCATGGGGCATCACAAGGTTGGGTATGGCGTGCAAAGCATTTTACCACAATAATTCTTAAAATGCCAGAGTGCCTTGTTTTAGTGTCGTCCGCTTAAACAGAAAATCAGATCATTCCAGATCAGCAAGAAATATAAAAGACTGACATAAAGCATTCAGTTGTACAATCATGCTGTCTCTCGCTGTGCACACAGAGCACCACAATGATCTATTTACTGAGCAGCTGGGTTCATTGCAGGTGTAGCAAGGAATAAATAAAACCCTTGCATGAGCAAAAAGCAAACTGCTCTCCTGCAAAAGTGATAGGGTTAAAAAGTCATGTGGCTGCAACTGAGTTGTTTTCTTTCTATCATTGCAGCATTCCTAGAAAACCTCCCCCAATCCTTGGTAAAGTCAATTTCTAGGCTGAAATTATTGTTCTGCTATTACAAATGGTGTACATTTTAAAAAACGATGTCAAATGCATTCATCAAAGAAGCTTCAGTGGGCCCTGCAGATTTTACCAGATGGACTGTCAGTCAGAACAGCTCCATTTAAATGGCGTCTGTAACAGCTCTTGCTTCCGTTGGATCATCAAAAGCATGGAGAATTGTGCAGTGGTTGTTTTGCTTGAAAATGATAAGGCTTAATGGCGTTGTTATAAAAGAGATAACTAGGGAACTTCCAGAGCCTCATTCTTGGTCTGTGAGAAAGGTTGGTTTCCTAGGAGATCAGATACCTCAAGGACAAAGGAATTGCTTGCGCATCCTTTTCTCATGTGCTCCCTAACAAAGTAGAAACAACACATATCAAAGCATCTCTTTGTTGTGTCTTCATGTTCAAGGTTTAGAAGCTCAGCAAAAACTTGTTTTTTCAACTTCATAAGCCCGTGTAATTTTTTCCCTCTGGTTTCAAAGCATAGTATATATATATATATATATATTAAAATATTTTTTTTATTATTTACATGTAAGTATATCGAACACAGTGTGACATCCTGGAGTTTCATCCGCCATAGAAATCAAAGTGAAAGACAAATAACATACATACAACTTACACGGGGCATTCTGCTCCCTTTTGCCTTTCAGCTCCAGTCCAGGAGCCTTCAAGCAGTCACATTCACGACAAACCATTTTATACCAAATTTATATTTTTGCTGATAAAGAAATAAAGGGAGACTAGTATAGATCTATTTCAAGCTTTTTAGTTTTCATCAGCTAGCCATACCCTTACTTGGATTCGAACTTGGGCTTCCTGCATGTTAGGCAGTTGAATTAACCTTCTGAGCCACAAGTTCTCCTCCCTTCATCATCTTGAGCCAGGGGAAAGATTACGTGTTTACCGAGACACCTGGTCTACCCCAAAATGTGGGGTAAGTACATACCAAGTAAGGGTATGGCTAGCTGATGAAAGCTAAAAAGCTTGAAATAGATCTATACTAATCTCCATAAGTTCTTTATTTTCCACCATGGCTTTCACTATATATGTTTTTATTTTTTTTGCTTTAATTTATATGCCGTCCTTCTCTGGAGACTCAGGGCGGCTTACAATGTGTTAAGCAATAGCCTTCATACTTTTGTATATTTTATACAAAGTCAGCTTATTGCCCCCACAATCTGGGTCCTCATTTTACCTACCTTTGAAAGGATGGAAGGCTGAGTCAACCTTGAGCCTGGTGGGATTTGAACTTGCAGTAATTGCAAGCAGCAGATGTTAATAACAGTGCATTAGTCCACTGTGCTACCAAGGCTCTTGGTCATAATGTTCTTGGTCATAATGGTAAAGAAATTATTCTCCACATTGGTTGTGTTTGAAAGTAGGAGATTCATGGCTTTTTCAGAAAGATCTTCTATACAGAAGCAGAATCTTCTGCACAATGGCAGAAACAAAAGCTTGGGAGGAAATTATGGCTTTATTGTTCTCATACTGGACTCCAGCTGCTATTGGCTACTGGGGGAGAAGTTCAGCTCTTTTGCAAAGCTACAGCTGAATGAAAAAGGAAGAATGTTCGTGTTTTCTATCAAGAAGATGCTATTTTGGGATTCTCTCCTTTCGGGTTTTTGCGTTTGGCATTTTCAAGATGTTCAGGGGTTTTGGGTTTTTTTGCAATGTTTTCAAAAGAGATGTTTGTGAAACATCTTTCTGCTGCAATGTTGGCTGTCGTGCCTCTGAAACCATTGAGGATTAGAAGTTCTTCATTTCCAGCTATAGAAATTCAGGTTCACTTTTCTTTATCCAGTGCAATTGGACAGACACCACTCACAGTCTAAAACATACCGAAATGTATAGCAAGATTCATATGTGCTGAGCCATAATGCAATTCATTTGGTTTTCTTCTATATGAATTGTGAGTTAGTCAATGTGCAATGGTTAATTGGTGGCTAATAAGATAAAAATGCATATAGGACTCCCACACTGACCTACATTGATCTGTACTGTCAGTGTATGAATAATCACCGGAGCCCATAAGATTTGTTTGTGATGTGCAAGCTCTACAGGTAAAAGGAGATTCTATTAACTTTGTTCCCCATCCTACAGAAAGACAATTCAACTTCTGGTGTGAGCTCAAATGTAAGGTATGAAAAAGACTCCTTAATTTCAGGGGCCCTAAACTCCAAACTGCTCTTCACTTAACAATTCTTCTTCTGTTTGATTTGTAGAATAAGCAACAATGAGGAAACCCCTTGCAACCAGTTGGATTTTACTTCTCCTTCTCCTGCTCCAGATGGATCCCTCTGTTTCCAAGAAGAAGCCTAAACCTGGTGGTGGCTGGAATACCGGGGGCCAACGCCCACCTGGTTACCCCCAGCAACATCCTCCAAACAGACCTAATTATCCACAAGGTGGTTACAATCAACCTTATCCTGGGCATGGAGGAGGCTACGGAGGAGGCTATGGAGGCGGTTATGGAGGCGGCTATGGAGGCGGCTATGGGGGCAGCCAGTATGGCAAGCCCTGGAAGCCCAAACCACCCAAGCCCAAAATGAAGCATATGGCAGGAGCAGCTGTGGCTGGAGTTGCAGCAGGTGCACTGGGGGGTTACCTCTTAGGCCGTTCCATGTCAAACATGCAGTTTATGTTTAACAATCCTAGTGAGCAGCAGTGGTGGAATCAAAACCGCGACCGCTACTCCGACCAAGTTTACTACCCAAAGTATGACCAACCAGTTTCGAGGGACGTCTTCGTGAGAGACTGCACGAATGTTACCGTGACCGAGTACATTGAGCCCAGTGGGAACAAGACAGCAGATGACACAGAAAGAAAGATGGTGACGCAAGTGGTGACGCAGATGTGCACTGAGCAATACAGGTTGATGTCAGGTGTCACTTCGCTGTTTACTAACCCTTCTGTGCTTGTAATAATTACACTGATTTTATGTTTCCTGATACACTGAGTTGCTTTCCTGAAGGTTCTCTCTTGTTGAGCTAGCAGTGTGGAGAAGGGAACTCTATAAAGCATACACCTGGTGGGAGAATACATTCTTGTATGTGCAATTTTTAATGGGTGTGTTTAAGAGTTGTTCTATCTCTTAAGTATTCTTGAACATACTGGCTTCATCTGACATGGTCCCTTCATAACCACCTGTGATTCTGTCTTTAGCTGCAAAAAAGTTTTGGGTGGGGAAAAGGAGGGACATAAGAACATTTTATAAGAACCCCTACCCTGCTAGAAATCTCACTCCATTCTCACTGAGCTTGCGCTTACACACAATATAGTAACATACATAAGAATGGCTAAGTAATTATTTTTAGATTTAATGCAGCAATCATTTTGTATTATCACAAAGTCTGGCTTCCCAAAGGACCAAGTATATCTTCACAAGGAAGGGCTTGCATTTTTAAAAGGGCTTTGGCAACCAGAGCTGATCTGCATGATAGCCTTGGAGCTCTTGAGAGACCTATCCACCACGACTAATTCACACATGGACATTTTGAAGGCTATTCCACATGTAAGAAAAACTTCTTGCCTATGAAGCACAATTGCTGCAGATACACAGCATGTGATTAATCTTGCTGAAGGCAAGTAGCTTTGAAACAAAGACACCATGGTGGAAATACTTTATTCAAAGCAAAAGAAAAATGTCAGTTTTTGGAAGGGGAAGGAGCAGGTTGAAATATTATTTCTGTTAAGAAATAAGAAATTTCTGAAACAATTTCCAGAAATTTAAAGCTATTGAAAATTGTTAATTGCCATAAGTGGGACTTCAGAGTTCAAGGGTATGATGAAAAATGACCTTATAAATAGACTAAGAATATGAAATATATATATTCATCTTCCAAAGAGGACTTCAATTTCTCTCCTTTTAAATGATAATTGTTCTGATTCAAATGGGATAAGCTTATCAGAAAGCTAATATTAATGATTCAATTAACATTAGGAGTAAGAAAGCATCCAATAGATCCTTGGACCAAAAAATCACTAGGAAATTGAAGGTTTTAACTCTGGAGAACTTTGGAATTAACTTTCACTTCCGGTACCAAAGTCACTTTCATTGGCTTCTTTAGAAAGTCAAAGAAATATTCACAAAGAAACTGAAATGTAGACTTTTCTCTGCAACAACTGGAGAACCTGACAGTGCTACTAATTCACAGAACATTTGTGTTGTGTGTGGGGAAATTACTCATGCCATCCACGCTGATGTCTCAGCTGGTCCCAATACTGCTAGTTAGAACATGAAACACAGAATCATAGGGCTGGAACCTGGAAGGGACTTATAGTCCAACCCCTTGCTCAAGGCAGCAGACCTTATACCATCCTAGTCTATTAAGCAAGAGGGAGTGAGCCCCTTTGTCTTCAGCTACAGGCCAGAATAAGAAATTCATGGATGGTCTTCTAATGAACTTTGAGAGCAAGAGCCTAATGTTGAGCTTGTGAACTGATTTTGCGGAATCAGGTTTTGCATTTGGCATACTGAGGCACTATTTAGAATTATTCTTTAAACAAGATTGCTACGAATACCTTGCTCTTTCCACACGTTGCTTTGGCTTTCTTATTGTTTTATTTAGTTCCTTGAGATTTGGGCTGCAAAAGCTGACATGGCCTCCACAAGTGTCACATTTTTTTACCAAATGTTTAGCAGAGTTTGTGTTTGTTATTTCTCCATTGTATACAACAAGGCTTAGAAATATTACTGCTAGAAACACAACAGCCACTGGAATTCAGCTAGTTTGAAGATGCCATAGTCATTTAATTTTAAGACCTAATTGAAAATTGTACTTCGGGCTGTAATAATTTTGTCTGTCTTAATGCTTTCAGCCTACGGTGGTTATAAAGGGTACTTTTTTAAAACTCTGGTGTATTTCAATTGATTTGCTGATTGACACTGTGTTTGTACCAGATATAAAATTGTAAATGTAGTAAAAATATAATGGGATATGCTCTTCACCTACTGAGTATATCTGGTATATATGAATATTTTCCCAGGTGATTACATACATGGGAATGTGTGCTAGTTATTACTTATTTGGGTTTAGGGATTTCTTTTTCTTTTATTTATTGAGTTGTTGAGATGTATTCTGTGTTTCGGGAGGGGGGGCTGCACCAAGGGAGGCTCATTCAATCTCATTTTACACGTGTTGTGCATTGACAATAAAGGTTTGATTTGATTTGATTTGATATTGTAAATGCCAACTTTAAATATTGTTGTTTTAATATAAGAGCAAAAAAAAAACTAAATTGAGGGGAATGTTGGATTTTGAAGTGACATGTCAGTTGTCATTGGGATATTTTGTAACTCTGTAACTATGCATGGGCTTCATTTTGATTTGCATTTTTTTAAATTAAATGTTTGATATAAAGTTAAAAATAAAATATGAGAAATCAACATTTGGACTCTGTTAAATTATTCCTAACAATACAAATATATTGTTCCTATACATATACAAAAATAAATTTTCCCAAAATATCAGCTGTTACAGAATAAAATCCAAGATTTTGGATCCAAATGGGTCCAGCTTTGTTATTAAGTGGAATGAATCATCTGGTTGGATTTTGGTTTTAGGAAAAGAAAGCAAATAGATTTTTAAACTGCATTTTGCAGATAGATAATTATTTGGATAGGATTTACAATAATTAGTATAACATTTGACCAATAGTACTTTTGCTTCTGAGGAAAATTGATTGTGGGTGTTTCATCTTCTCAAATAATTTAGAATGGTCTTGGATAATGTGCTTTTTTATTGTGATTTTTTACACTTGATCTGAACAGAGTCCCTTGAAAGTTGGGCGGCATAGAAATGTGACAAAATAAATAAATAAATAAATCACACTAAGCCAGAACAGTCTTTAAAATGAATAAACATGATTCATGGCTTAGTTTTACTTACTTGCTTATTTACTGATTGATTGATTGATTGATTGATTGATTGATTGATTGATTAAATATATACATTGCCCATCTCAATTTCAAACCAAGTCCTATCAACTTTTGCTAATAAATATGTCTATGGTGTATATATCACAACTGTATGGGAAAATGAATGTAATACAAGTTCTCTCTCTCTCTCTCATACGTGCACACACACACTCACACACACACACACAAAACATAGAAGACCAGGCATTCTTATATATACTATGAAGCTTGCAGGTGGGATGCTAGTCATGGTAATCCAAAATTAAATCAATGCAAGTTATTTTAGCATGGTGTCTAAGCAACTTACTTAATCATATTTACATAGTCAAGAGTTGGAAAGGATTTTTTTAGATCAGTTAACCCAACTTCTTCCTTACTATAGCAGTGGATTTGCAAACAAGGACCAAGTACAAAGGCAACAGACCTATTTTGGTGTTATACAGGCCAGAGTTTTATTTGGCAGTTTAGATAAAAGGGTCAGAAGAGTAAATAGAGATTAGCAAGTCAAACAGCACTTAACAAGTAATCTTCAAATAAATTTTGTGTTGGAACATTAATCAACATTACAAGGAAATAAATCTGAGCACTATATATCATATGGAGCGTGTTAGATTGTAATGAATAACCAAAATAGCTTTAAAAATTCTATCTTCTTGTTCGCAACACTCATGATCAGATAGACTTCCCAGCTGTTCTTGTATAGCTCTTTCCATCACATAAAAAAGGAAAATTAAACAGAAACACAAACACTGTATTATATCCCAGTTAGCCTTCAGAGTTTCCTAGTTCTTAACAAAATAGATGCTAAAGCTATCTTGAAATTATCTTTCTGACCTTTTACAGCTGAATTAAGGCAAGATCCAAATTCAGAGGCAACAGAAGGATTTTGCTTCCTCATTAGTCTTACCAGGTTAACCACACCTACTGATAGGCGAAGTCAAGCAAGGATGTTCAAGGACTGCTTATCAACATAATACTATGAAAGATTGATAAAAAATTCTTCAACTTCACATCTTATTTAAAGAAGGCAGTTTTTCATGATGGGAATCCATCTTCAGTATTTAAGCCAAGCTTTTCTTTTCTCAAAGAGACTCCTTTTGAGAATCCTAGGGCTGGAAGGAAAATGTAATAAATCCAACTGCATCCTTTGTTTCAAGAGGAGAAGCACATTAATCCCAATGTCAACTGCCTGTTCTAGCACTTAGAAACCCAAGTTTATTTATTTACATATTTATGCATTTGTTGGATTGATACTGCATTGTAATTAACTGGCTCTCAATTTTGGAATAATTTCAATTCAAGCCAAGTCTCTTTCCACTTCTGATTTGTGACAATCATCACAGTATGGCAGAAAAGAATACTAAAAATAGAATTAGAGCTGAACCCCAAAGGTACTTTTTTCCCAAAAGGCAACTGGACTTTCTTGGTTTTTTTCTTTGAAAACATTTTGCTTCTCATCCAAGAAGCTTCTTGGATGAGAACTAAAATGTTTTCAAAGAAAAGAAAAAACAAAGTCCATTTGCCTTTTGGGAAAAAAAAACACCTTGGGACAACCATAAGACAACTATGACCTGGATGACTGAGAATCTCCGGAGGCAACTAGAGTTTAAACCCACTTATGTATTCAATAACCTTTAAGAGGTCAAGGAAAACAAAGAATGGAAAACAACATGGAACCATGTGGCTTTCAAACAATATTCTCAGTCCACAAATTACTAATGACTAGACGAAACCTCCCAGTCATATTTAAGGAGAAGGATGACAATTTAGACAAAGAAGGCACAAAAGCAGTTTATCAAGCAGGAGTCCTGCAACCCCAGGGCCACAAATGACCTCAAGTCTTCTTTCTGCAACTGTCAACCCACCCCCCACCCCCATCCCCTCCATTATTGCTGAAAAGTAATAATTCAGGTTTCCACCATTCAGAGATAGGAACCTGTAGGAAATGCTCTAACATCAGTATATCATAGTTTCAAAAAAAGTGTTCAGCTCAACATTTGCAGCCCATCCAGATGCTTGCTTTTTCAGCGCCAAGTTTGCAACACTGTAAAACATGTTTGCCATCACATGTTGCCTGCCTCTCTTTTGAGGTGTGTGACAGCTTTCACCACCCATCAAAAATGGTTGACTAATCAGATACATGTTGGAATTATCAGCTCCCATTAGGGGAGAGATATTTTGCAAATAGTCAAACAAAAGACATCCAAACCTATTCCGTTGTTTGATCCCAATTGTTCAGAAAGTCAGTTTGGTTCCAAGATTGAATTTGAGGTGTGTTTGAATGGAACCTTCAGTTCAAATCTTGATGTATTCATTTTAAGTAATCTCAGAAGTCTTCTTCCTTCCTTCCTTCTTTCCTTCCTTCCTTCCTTCCTTCCTTCCTTCTTTCCTTCCTTCCTTCCTCCCTCCCTCCTTCTCGAAAGCAACTTCTATTATCATGTGAACTGCTAAAATATTTCCTGAAAACTGAGCAGATTCCACTGAAGGATCGAGGCAACAGGGATAGGGGAATTATCCATTGTCTCCATCTTAAATTAGACTTGACAAATACAAAAAAGGAATCACTTTAGATTGATTCGTAATGGCAATTGGAATTCATTCATAAGTAGCCTATATATTGCATCTCTTTGCATCTGATGCAGTCTCCAGAAAAACATAAAGCCACAACTAAATTCTTGCTGGAGAGAGAAATATTCCAGACCTCTGATAAGTTAATAGCAACCATGGAAGAGACTTAGAAAGCATAGCTCTTAGAAGATCAGGAAAGGAGTGATTAAGGTAATGACTGAAATGGCAAAAGGATGAATGAGAAACAAAGCATTCTCAAAAGAGAAATGCAAATCAGACACAGCATTCTTTGGGGCATTGTGTCCACTGGCTTCTCCAGGACTATTAGCCAAAGCTGCTCCTTCTCCATGTTTGAACTCACTTTTGATCTCCAGTGTAGTAGCTGTCTCTGGTTTATTATTATAGTAGCTGCCTGCCATTGTGATAACAGTCAAGCGGGGGTACATCTCCATGCATTTTTCATTTGCCACCTGTGTTACCACTCTGGCTTCCAATTCATCTTCAGTTTGGTTTCCAGTGGGCTTCACATACCCTCTTACGGTGACATTTACACACTCACTCAGGAAAACATCTCTTGAAATTGGCTGGCTAGAGTTCGGGTGGTAAACATGGGTGGCAAAACGGTGGCGGTTTTCATTCCACCAACGTTCTTCCTCACTGTCATTAAAAGGAAAATACATCTTGGCTATGGGGCTGCCTAAGATGTAGCTCTCAGGGTCTTCCACTGGAGCATCTACAACAGGTTCTCCCACTACATATTTCACTTCATCATCCTTTGACTTAGGGTCCACTGGGTTGCCATCATGAGGTTTGGAGCTGCCTCCTTCTGCAGACCTGGAGAAAGTACGATACTGCTCGATGCACATTTCCTTCACCACATGCTTCACCACCCTGGCTTCCATCTCGTCCTCTGTTGCATTCCCAGTGGGCTCAATGTATTCTTTCACTGTGATGTTCACACAGTCTCTCACAAAGATATCTTGTGGTACAGGCTGGATGTACTGGGGGTAGTAAACTTTATCCGAATAACGATGGCGATTTTCGTACCACCACCGCTCCTCATTCATGTTGTTAAATTGAAAATGTAGATTAGACATGGCACGTCCCAGGAAGTAGCCTCCAACAGCTCCTGCCGCTGCACCTGCAATTGCTGCTCCAGCCACATGCTTCATATTAGTCTTGGGCGGTTTAGGTTTCCAGGGTTTGGGATTATAGTGTCCCCAGTGAGGATTTTGGGGGTTATATGGTTGGTGTGGGAAATACCCAGGATTTTGAGGCTTGACCGGATACGGTGGGGGATGTGCGGGGTTTTGGGGGTTGACCGGATATGGTGGAGGGTGTGCTGGGTTTTGAGGGTTGACCGGATACGGTGGGGGACGTGCAGGGTTTTGAGGGTTGACCGGATACGGTGGGGGATGTGCGGGTTTTGGGGGTTGACCGATATGGTGGAGGGTGTGCTGGTTTTTGAGGGTTGACCGGATACGGTGGGGGATGTGCGGGGTTTTGAGGGTTGACCGATACGGTGGGGGATGTGCGGGGTTTTGGGGTTGACTGGATACGGTGGAGGGGGTGCTGGGTTTTGAGGGTTGACCGGATACGGTGGGGGACGTGCGGGGTTTTGAGGGTTGACCGGATATGGGTAGGCAGGGTTATATGGAGGAGGATTCCCTGGGTTAACAGGATTATTTGGGGGTGGGCAGGATTTTGAGGGTTGACCGGATATGGGTAGGCAGGGTTATATGGAGGAGGATTCCCTGGGTTAACAGGATTATTTGGGGGACGTGCGGGGTTTTGAGGGTTGACCGGATATGGGTAGGCAGGGTTATATGGAGGAGGATTCCCTGGGTTAACAGGATTATTTGGGGGGTGGGCAGGATTTTGAGGGTTGACAGGATAAGGTGGAAGATATCCTGGATTTTTTGGAATGGCGGGATTATGGGGTGGATGTGCAGGATTATATGGAGGAGGAGGGACTGCGTGGTTTGGAGGAAGTTTTGCAGGATTATCAGGCCTCTTTGGGAGTGCATGCCTGTTCTCAGGTAGCTTGGGTATTGGTTTTCTAGGTCTCACTACAGGCTTGAAAGGACTGCGGGAGAGTTTACTAGGGCGATGGGAAGGTTTGCTAGGATTATGGGAGGGTTTGCTAGATCCAGTTGGCTTTCGGCTGCTGCTGCCGCTCGGTCTGCTGCTTCCTTTTTTAGAAATGGAGACGATCTCCTCAGTCTGGAGCAAAATGAAGAGAATCACGATTGAGCAGGTCAACAGGAATTTTCCCATGATGACAATTCTGCAAGATAAAATGGGGAAGACATCTAGTTTGAGAGACATGCAAGTATGACACAAATGATCCAAATTTATCAAGGAGAACAGTCCCAACAGTGCTTTTTCAAGAGGCTACTGAACTCTCTGGTTTTTCTTTGAAGACGTTTTGCTCCTCATCCAAGACGCTTCTTCAGCTCTGACTGGATGGTGGGGAATGGAAAGATTTATACTCCTTGCAGACAGCTGGTCATTTGCATTCTTTTAGTGAGTCATTAAGGCCAGCTGGAGGTTTATCTGTGTCATCAGGGTCCTCTGAGTGGTGCAAATTGGTGTGGAGCCTTGTTGGAACTGTTGAAAGGACTGTGTTGTAGATTGGAGATAGATGATGTCATATCCCTCCCCCCCCCACCCGTTGAAAGAGGGCTGTTCAATTTTGACATAGATGGACTCTTTAACCCCTTTTTCAAACCAGCGATCCTCTCTGTCCAAAATATGGACTTTGTCGTCTTCAAAAGAGTGGCCTGTGTTTTTTAAATGTAGATGGACTTGAAAAAAGCACCTTTGGGACAACCATGACCTGGGTGACTGAGAATCTCCATAGACACCATGGAGAGCAGTGTTTTCCCCAAAATTATTCATGGCAGACAGCTTGTAGAATCAAAAGAGTTTGTAAAGCCTCTTGTCCTCCTTAACCAATTAGCTTTGATAAGGAAATTACCAAAAACCCAGGAGAATTATATACTTCTGGAATCATATGCAATTTGCAAAAAAAGATTAGGTAGTCACACAACTGGGGGGGGGGGAATAAAAGCTCACGTAAGCCTAATTCTTAAAATATTTCATTCTTCTAGGAGGGTGGCTGGCTTCCTACAATACAATCCTTACATCTACTTCAATGTAATACATATGCTTTTGCCCATAGCCCAGGAATCAATGGAAATGTATGAGTTCAAACTGCAAGATTAAACAAACCCAGCTGGATGACCTTGGGCTTGTCAATCCTTAGAAGAAGGAAGGCAAGGACAAACCACTTCTGAAAATCTTGCCAAGGAAAATAGAGGGACTTACTCTAGGCTATCACCAGGTGTCAGCACTGACTTGAAGGCACCGAAAAACAAAACAAAACAAAACCTTCCAGATGCCAGATCTATTTCTAGCTCTTGATAATTCTCCTACTCCATGTAAAAGTTTGTCTTGCTCATGGCAGATTACATATATTTTCACTTCTGGATTCACGGTTTTCTTTATAAAGTTTACATGTATTTATTTAACTGATATTTAATCCTGATTTTCAATAAGAAATGCAAAATAATAATGAGTGATAGGTTTAGGAGTAGACATTTCAAACTTTGGGAAACTTTAGGGAAGAAGAGAGAATAAAGCAATTCCTTGAGCTGCTTTTCAGTAGATTTGGTAAAATGGGCCTGCTTCATATCCTGTTTCCTTCTACAATGGACTGATAATTTTTTTAAAAAAATGAAAAAGAAAGCCTTTTTATATTTATGTGTTTGGACAACAGTAAAAGAAGTCAGAAACAGGAATTTTCCTTTTCAAACAAAGACTTTCTATTATCCTCCATAACTCCTTAAGTTTTTGGGATTGTTTCCAAATTCCCAAACTTCATTCCATGATATCTAGAGAATTGATTTTGAGTCTTTATTGCCAAAAAGATTCTAGTTTGCATCCTGTCTCTATCTTTGTTTGTTAGACCCAAATGAAAGTCTTCTTTCTTGATCTCTTTACTTGGGTTGTCATCTTGAAAGGAAGGGCAACAGAGCAGAAATAAGATATATTGATGCAGAACAAATCTGCAAATTTAATACAGAACATTTGACCATAATGGAGAAGGCTGTTTCAGATGGCGGTCCAACATGGTCTTTATTTCCCATCAGAGTGATTGCTCCCTCAGTCACAGAAAACACAACAAATGTGTCTATTTACTTCCCCCACCCCTCAAAAAAATCATTGTGTTTTCTTCACCTATCTACCACCCATGGTATAATTGCTGATATTTGGAGCAATTATCATTTCCATGCAGTGCCAATCTCAATGCCTTGAGGGACAATAGTGAAACATCAGAAAAGGTTATGACATTGAACTAGATTAAATTAACTGAAGTTCTGAAAATGGACTAAATGCCAATCCCGGTGCAACTTTAAGAACAAGGAGAGGGATCTTCTTATCCCCAAAGAATAAATAGGTAGAATTTAATTTATTTTATAAAGAATTTACAGAAAGAAATTATGGCTTGAGCTGTGTACATTTTCCCACAAAAAAATAGAGTAAATCAAACAACCAAAACAGTAGGTTATTATGCCAACAATTAGGTGATATTGAAGGACTGGTCCTTCTAGCACTCTTTAGCACAGTGGACATTATCCTTTCCTATCCTACCCTATCCTATTTGTCATATGCTTAGTGATTATAGAGCAATTAAGCATTATGGAAAATTGTTCTCCTCAAATTATTTTGCATGCTTCAATGAAGGTCCTGCCATTGAAATTATTTTTTATTTTATTTATGTATGTATTCATTTTTCATATTTCTTTACCACTTATATCCCTCAGTGAGAGGCTCAGGGCAATGTACAGTATAATCAATAAAATTAAAATTAAAATCAGAATAATTTAAGGTTAAAAAGTGTAAAATTATTAAAAAATAACTTGATAAAATTTCAAAAGGTGAAACATTCCAAGATGGAGATTAGAAGTTGTTAAAACAGATGGGGGAGGGGTTTTTTATGGGACCAACCAGCCCCACAATTGTGTAAGCCTCTGTGTCCGTCCCCTCCATGCAAGGCTCAAGTTTTGACCAGGTTTCGATGTTAAGTATTTAGATTTAGGCAGTGGTGGGATTCAATTTTTTTAACAACCAGTTCTGTGGGTGTTGGCTTAGTTGGGGGGGGGTGGCTAGCTGGTCATGTGACCGGGTGGGTATGGCTAGCTGGTCATGTGACAGGGTGGGTATGGCTATGTGCATAGGGACTACTCAGAGAGCTGAAAAAAGTCATTTCTGACTGGTCCTCGCACTTTTGACTGGTCCTCACACTTATGACCATCCTCACATTTCTGCCCGTTGCAGCATCCTTTACAACCGTGTCAGTCATTTCACAACTAATTCTCTTCACCACAGTGAGAAGATAGGGCACAAAACGTAAAATGTGAGGACAGTCGTAAGTGCAAGGATTGGTCAAAAGTGTGAGGACCTGTCAAAAATAACTTTTTCAGCCCTCTGAATAGTCCATATGCACATAGGGACTACCCAAAGGGTTGAAAAAGGTGATTTCTGACAGGTCCTCGCACTTTTGATCGGTCATCATTTATGCCCATTACAGCATTCTTAATTAAATTAATTAAATAAAAATGGCCTGCTGGAGCAGTCTGAGGCAGTCTGAGGCAGGCATTCAGGCCGGCTGCAGGGTAAGGTGATACAACTGGGGTAGGTAGGCCGCTGCTGCCCAGGTGGGAGGTGGACGCAGGAATACAGGGCTGGCTGCAGGGTGACGTGATCGGATGGGGTAGGTCAGGGGTCTGCAACTTTAAACACTCAACCTTAAACACATGTAAACACTTAAACACAACCTTAAACCTGGGTGGGCATTGCCAACTCCATATCACTTACTCCCACCCAGATTTTGTGGCTCCCAGTATTTTCTTTTAAACAGGTATCTCTGTGTGTCTCTTTCATCTCTCCCATCTCTTTCTTTCTCCCCCCCCCTTTCTCTCCTTCATCTCTCTTTCTCTCCATTCCTCTTTCTACCCCCTCTCTTTCTCTTCATCTCTCTTTCTTTCCCCGTTTCTCTCCTTCATCTCTCTTTCTCCCCCTCTCTTTCTCCCCCCTTTCTCTCCTTCATCTCTTTCTCTCCATCTCTCTTTCTCCCCCATCTCTTTCTCTCCTTCATCTCTCTTTCTCCCCTTTCTCCCCTCTTTCTCTCCTTCATCTCTTTCTCTCCATCTCCCTTTCTCCCCTCTTTCTCTCCTTCATCTCTTTCTCTCCATCTCTCTCTCCCCCTTTCTCTCCTTCATCTTTCTCTCCTTCATCTCTCTTTCTCCCCCCCCCTCTTTCTCCCCCCTTTCTCTCCTTCATCTCTTTTTCTCCATCTCTTTCTCCTCTCCTGTTTGGGCGGTGGCGGCAGCGCACCTACCGCACCATCTGGTCATCCCTTGGCTTGGAGGTGGCACCTTAAACCTGTGCCCCACTGCGCATGCGCCTGCCAGCTGCACTTGCAGCTGGCTCTTGTTGCTCTTACTGAGCTTTGCAATGGGGCAGACGGCGCCTCTCCTCTTCCTGGAGGCCATTACGATGTGGAGCTTTGGCTGCAGCCTGGGCAGCCAGTGTTCTGGGGCGGAGAAAAGTTGCGCGTCTCCCCCAGCGACTGGATGGGCTACGGTAGGCTGGTGCCGCGCGGGTATGAGGCAGGGCGGGGTGAGGGGCGGGCGAGCCAGCAATTTAACAAACGGTTCGGTGTGCTGCGAGGCCAATAAATTACAAAAAAACACCAAACCATTTTTAAATTGCTGGCTTGCCCGCCCCACCTCCCACTATTTATTGGCAATAAATAGTGGTGTGGAGGGGCGGGGCAAGGAGTGGGGCGAGCCAGCAATTTAACAAACGGTTCGGCCGAACCGCCTAAAACCGGCAGAATCCCACCACTGGATTTAGGCCAGAGATGGTATTCAGCAGGTTCTGACCAGTTCTGGAGAAGCAGAAGTGGAAATTTTGAGTAGTTCGGAGAACCGGTAAATACCACCTCTGACTGGCCCCGCCCCCATCTATTCTCTGCCTCCCGAGTCCCAGCTGATCAGGAGGAAATGGAGATTTTTACAGTATCCTTCCACTGCCACACCCACCAAGCCATACCACTCCCACCAAGCCATGCCCACAGAACCAGTAGTAAAAAATTTTGAATCCCACCACTGGTTTAAGCAGTTCCTAGAAATACAGGAAGACCTCAAGTCAGAGGACCATCAGTTGTAAAACTGGATCCCTGCCTTTCTTTTAAATTCTAGTCAACTCTTCTTCTCAACTCTTTCACCAATCAGTAGGCTCAATGAATTTTGATATTGTTAACATTTTTCTCTATTTTTAACATTTGCTTCTGGTGTTATCCTATAAAGGAGGAGGAGGAAGATGGCTTCTGTGTTAATCAACACTTATCAATTTGTGAAGCAACAACAAATGTATTCAGTGATCCTGCCAAATCTGAACTCCAGTAGACTTGGAGTTTTGGCTCCTGTACAAAATTTATATTCAGCCACAACTGCGTGTTCTCTGTTAACCTGACTCCTGTATGTTGCTCTGAGCTCTTTCAGGAATCATGGGAGGACGGTATAACAGGCTGCTCTCTGTCAACTTAATCAGAAGAATTCCATCTGTATTCTAAGATGTATACATAGCATACATGTGCATGAATGCTTATTAAACAGTCTTTGTTTACTTAATACAACTACTTATGCTGCTTTCTTCTTGCTGCGCATGTTTTAATTCTGAATTCATTGTTTTAAAGACTTGTTTCTTGTGTATATTTTTATGTAAGTAAGCTTATATTATTCCTTTGTAAACTTCTCTTTGAACTCCTGGAAGTCATAACAATATAGGAGGAAAAGAGAAAGGGGAAAGGGGAGGGAAGGAGAAGTAAGGGAAGGATTAGAGTTAGAGTTAGGATTAGAACATCTCATTCACAGATCAAAATGATAAATCAAGTGCAACAGATTTGAAAAAAAATATTATTTTGCTTAACCTTTAAAGAGTTGTGGTAAACAGTTTTAGAGGGTTTTTTTTTCTTTGTTTGTTTTCTTTTAAGCCTCTCATCTCAGTGTTTCATTCCCATAATTGTTTCACTAGAAATATAAACTGATGGAAGAAGGAATGTTACACTTTATGTTGTACAACGTGATCAATAATTTCTTCTTTTAAAGTGCAAGGTCGGGTTTTTCACTGTGACACATTTATTTTGCAAGTTTTGGCCAGGATGTCTTTACCCACAAAACATGTGGGCAAGTGTGTCGCAAGCATTAAAAAAAAAAAAGAACATTCTAATAACGTGCAAAGAGAAGGAAAATCAATCCAGAAAATCAGACCTGCTCTAGGAAAAAAAAAAAGCTATTTTACATTTTTTTTTAATGTACTTGTAAAATGAAGCTCTGGGCATCATGTTCTGAAAATTTTACTGTTCATTCCGTTTTCCTTAACCCAATTCTTGAAATCATATCTTCTAATATTAAACTTCAGGAATTGAATTGGAAAATGAAAAGTGTCACCCTAAATCAAGAGTGTAAGACTATATAACTTTATGTATATACTCACAAAAGACAATTTTAGGGAATCCTTAAACAGTCTGACATTGTGAATTTCTAGGATCTGTAAATTGCTATGAATTCTGTGAAGAAAGGGGGGAAGAATATTAGAGTATTTGTTTTCTTTAAAATATATCTCCCACTCCTCAAATAAATATGGACTCCAATGTCAAGAAAATATTTTTTCATAACCTGCTCATAGCCTATACCAGTGATGGCTAACCTTTTTGCCATCGCATGCCAGGAGAGGGGGGGCGGGGGGGGTCACGCACGCACGTGCCCACGCGCATGTGTGTGCAACCCCCCCCCCCCCTCCCCCCCCCACTCCTCCTGGCACATGATGGCCTGGTAGGTCCGTTTTTCTTTCTTACCTGGTTCCAAATCCTCTCTGTGTATCTGGGAACGGCGAAAACAGCCTTTCCCACTCCCTTGGAGGCCCTACAGAGGCTGAAAGGGCCCATTTCCCAACTCCCAGTAGGACAGGAAGTGACATTTTTTGCTGTCCCCAGCCTCCAGAACCTCTCTAGGAGTCTCTAGGAGCCTCTCTAGGAGTCTCTGGAGGCTAGGGACAGGAAAAAAAAGTCATTTCCTGTCCCCCCGGGGGGGTGGGAAAGGGCCCTTTCAGCCTCCGTAGGGCCTCCAAGGGAGTGGGAAAGGCTGTTTTCGCCCTTCCCAGATACACAGAGAGGATCTGGAGCCAGGTAAGAAAGAAAAACGGGCCTTCCCCACCCCACCCCCAGGCCCTCCAGAGGCAGGAAACAGCCTGTTTCCCTACTTCTGGTGGGCCCAGAAGGCCCGAAAATCAGCTGGCCGGCGCGCGCATGCACCCCAGAGCTGAGCTGGCGTGCCAACTAATATGGCTCCGTGTGCCACCTGTGGCACGCGTGCCATAGATTCGCCATCACGGGCCTATACTAAGAAACAAAGCCATATAATGAATGATTGAGGAACTAGTTATGTCTAGTCTAACAAGAGATGGATGAGGGGTGATATCATAGCAGACTTCCATTACTTGAGAGACTATCACAGGGTGGGTCAACCTATTCTCCAAAGCACCTGAGGACAGGACAAGAAGTGATGGGTGGGAAATTATTAAAGAGAAATCCAACCTAGATTTAAGGAAAGATTTATGATAGTGAGAACAATTAATCAGTGGAACGATTTTTTTTTTTATTTGATTTATATGCCGCCCTTCTCCGAAGACTCAGGGCGGCTTACAATGTGCTCAGCAATAGCCTTCATCCTTTTGTATGTTTATACAAAGTCAGCTTATTGCCCCCACAAACTGGGTCCTCATTTCACCTACCTTAGAAAGGATGGAAGGCTGAGTCAACCTTGAGCCTTGGCGAGATTCGAACCCTGCAGTAATTGCAGGCAGCTGGTCTTAATAACCAGCTTAATAACAGGGTGCCTTAAACCCCTGTACTACCAAGGCTCCAGAGGTTGTGGGTACTTCATCACTGGAGGTTTTCAAGAAGAGACTGGACAGTGATTTGTTTGGAATGCTGTAGGATCTCCTGCTACAAGTAGAGGATTGGCCTAGAAGACCTCCAACCATATTATTCTATGCTCTATGAGTTCTTTGTGATCAAATCCAAATTTTGGGGAGAACTAAGAGCACTCTCTTCCCCTCATCCTTTTTAGCATCCAGAAACTTCTTTACATCTTCAGTGGAATAAATGGAATAAAAACATGTCCTGAAGTTTGTTGCCGGCTAAGAGTTCCAAATTTGATTTCCTAAAAATTATTTCCCAGCACACAGCAAGGAGGACAAAAAGGGTATGTGCTCTCTCATTAAATCTTTTCATGAGTGTCAGACCATGTGTTTAAAGTCATTATTTGTACCAAAGTGTTTCACAACAAGGGAATGAACCAATTAAATTATTGGGGCTGGAAAGGGGAATTCCACCTACAAAAGTCAGTCCATAGAAGTTACAGATCAGCACAGTATATTGGCGCATTAATTGGTTTTTTTATGTTGTTGATTAGGTCTGTTGCTTTAGGTTCCTACCAAGCCATTCTTAAAATGAGAACAATTCATTTGGAAAAGGGATCTACCAAGGATCTGTAAAAGTAAATGCTATGTAGCATAGTCACCCATGGGTGTGGCTAGTACATGGTAGGGAAGATACCTCAAAATGGGCTAGGCTTTACCATCTTGTATCATACACAGTTGTCAGAAACAGAATAATTTGGTAATGTAGAACAATAGCAAATAATGCAAGAAGGTGCTACCAACTTGCTCCAATTTTCATCACCTCAGAATTAATGGATAAAACAACTAGGTAGACAATAAAAAAAATCTGCAGTGGATTTGGTGCAAGCTATAGATCTATTGATAAAGGCAGGCATCTGTTTCATGCCTAATATCGTTGCGGACCATATCACTGTGCCACATCATGCAAACTTTCATTTCCTTTCGGAATGATGTAGGGTTGGACTAGAAGACCTCCAAGGTTCCTTCCAAGCCTGTTATTCTATGTTCCATCAACCAAATCAAAACACTGTCTGCCCCTTGAAATTACTTATATATAAATGGGGAGACAGTGCTCCTTCTTTCCCCAACATTTAGAGGCATCTTGGCAGGCCGGTTTGTAAACACACATACACACAAATCTTAAGAACACGTCTGCATCCCACCCAGAACTACTTTTGATGCTGTGATTCTTTTCTTCCTCCATTTCCTTTTCATTTAAGAGGATTTTTGCTCTATGAAAAAGGCAACCATGCTGGGCCGGCAGGAACATCCTGCTTCCCCTCTATCTATCAAAACAGTCTCTGCTTCTCTGGGCAGGGGAATTCCAAACTATAGCGGCTGCTAGTCAAGAAAATATACCAGATCAAAGACACCCACAAAGCCGTTTTAATAGAAGTGTCTGTTTTGATTGCCCTTAATTGTAGAGCACCCTGGGTAGAAGTTTCAGATGCTTCCACCGCCTCTCGCTTTTCCTGTATTGCATTATGTAAGAAGAACACAATGTCCTCTGGGTGAAAAAATAGCCTCCAGAATTCATCTGGATCCCATGAAATCATCTTCGCTCTGCCAGGCAGTTTATCACCTTAAGAGAGTTGTATAACATGAATGGAAACGTGCTCCTTCCCGGCAAACAAGGCAGAGGCGTTTTGCCTAAATAGGAAAGCCGTGGCTTCTCTAACGGGGCTGCCGTGTGTGCATTTATGCATTTAATTGTCATGAATCAATGAAAGAAACTTACCCTCGTGTCGACAAATCGAGGAGAGGCTGTTCGGAGACTCTGTCTTCTCAAAGAGGCTGATCGTTTTCTTTTTCAGCTCTGCAAATCTCCAGATGCTGTGGCTAACGGTAGGTGGAGCATGTTCAGTGCCTATTATGGCCTCTTGTTTTTACCAGAATCTACGCCGTTTGAAAACCGCCTCTGAACCAACCCTGTGTTCTAAAGAATGGATTAAGAAATGACACATTCTATGGGGCTGTTCCCAGACAGAACAGGGCAGGAAACCTTTTAACAGTCCTGGGCACGTAGCCAAGACTCCCAGCCTTGCTTCTGAGTTTGAAATTTGAAAGGAAAAGAGAGTTTTTCATTCACCACAAGACGGAAAGTGACCATTTTTCAACTTAAAGGCATTTGACTTTTTACTGTATTTCTAGGCTCTGATTCTAAGCTTCAGGAAAATCTAGCAGGAGGGTTAATAAAAGGACGTGATTACCAAAACAATCTATTCAGAAAGAGCAGCTAAGATTCACACAGCAAAAGTCAGAAAAGAAGATGGGAGTCTCTCTTCTGCAGAATTAAGATAAGCTCGTTCAATCGCTACCATCTCCATTAGCCTCATCCAATCATATTATTACAGGTGGCCTTCAACTTGCAACAGTTCACTTAGTGACCGTTCAAAGTTACAACGGCACTGAAAAAAGTGGTTTGCCTTCATTGAAAGCGATTTATGACCATTTTTCACACTTATGACCCTTGCAGCATCCCCACGATTACATGATCAAAATTCAGATGCTTGGCAACTGGCATGTATTTATGACGGTTGCAGTGTCCCAGTGATCAGCTTTTGCAACCTTCTGACAAGCAAAGTTAATGGGGAAGTCAGAGTCGTTTAACCACCATGTTACTAATTTAACAACTGCAGTGATTCACTTAACAACCGTGGCAAGAAAGGTCATAAAAGGGGGCAAAACTCACTTAACAAAAGACTCACTTAATAACATAAATTTTGGTCTCAATTGTGGTTGTAAATTGAGAACTACCTGTATTATTTTTTTTTCCCCAGTTTTGGCTCACAATAAGCAGTGGTTTGTTGCTTTGGATCCCTGGCCCATTTAGTCCAGCAGTCTGCTCCCACAGCGGTCAACCAACTGCATAAGGAAGCCCACTAGTCTCTCTGCAGAGGGTCTTCAGAGACAGCCATACTCACATCACCACCAATGGCCATTCATCACCACAACTTCTAACTAATTTTGTAGAGGGAAAAGTAGCATGTCCCCTTTATCCACACCGGGTATTATTTTGTAACTCTCAACAAGTCCCCCTCCAAATCTTCCCTTTTCTAGACTAAAAAATCCAGAAATGCCATATCCTTCTTCATAGTAAAGTTCTCCAGACCCTTCATCATCTTCACTGCATTTTGTTTTATTTTATCTGGTATATTTTAACCTTTGTACTTCTCTGTACAAAGAATACTGCTTGTTGATTGTAATAAAGGACTGATGACTGACAGAGTTGAAGAAGATAGACAACTCTTTTCAGAGATCTCAAAACTAGCATAACAGCTGATTCTGGAAGAATGACATTTATTCCCCCCCCCCCCCATTTTATAGACTGTTCACTCTCAAAGTCTTATGCAGCAGCTGTTTACAAGCTGCTATTTTCCTTTATACGGGAGAGTTTCTAAGAGGTCTTTTCAGTACAATGAAGTTTTATGTTTTGAGACATATGAAAAAACTTGGACTGTGATTCACAGTCAAAAGCATATAGAAGCCGTTATTTCCAAACTATGTCTGCTAGTTGGATATTTTTACTTGAAGACCTCCTAATTTTGTTAATCCAAAGATGTTGGCTGTATTCACATGCAATGTGCTCTAGTTATTGAATTAACCTATTTTCTCTGCACAGATAGTCCTTGACTTACAACTCTTTGTTTACTGACTGAATCTACAACGGCACTGGAAAAATGACTTACAAATGACTCCTCACATTTAAAACCATTGCAGCATAGTCACCTGATCAAAATCCGGGCATTTGGTAACCAGCATGTACTTACAATGGGTTGCAGTGCTACAAATGGCCGGATTGCCATTTGCAACCTTCCCAATTAGTTTCCAACAAGCAAAATTAATGAGGAAAGCCAGATTTGTTTAAGGACCGTGTAATTCACTTCAGAAGTCCAGTGATTCACTTAACAAGAAAGGGATGAGAAGCTGTGGGAGAAAAGATATTTTGGGGGGCATTTGTACTGTGTAATCCTATCTCTGCCACCATCTAGGGGCACCATCTAATTTGTGTTGGTTGTGTTCAGATAGCTGAGGAACTTTTTGGCAAAATGCCCTTTCACAAATTAACATATTGCTTTTGATGTTGGAAGCATTCCCAAAAAACATTATGTTTTGTATCCAAATCAAAATTCTCTCAGCAAATCTGAGAAATAGCAATCACAGAGAGAGCTGGACAGATGTTAGCTACCGTATGAAAAATACATTGGAAATAAAACAATGTGCACGTTAATATTAACTACATTGAATTGCATGAGAGTGGAGGAAAGAAATTGTTTGCTGGGAAAATCCAACTTCACTTTCTTGTAAAAAAGAAAAAAACTGAGCATTAATTTCTAAACTTCATTGCCTTCTTTGTTGTTGTTCTATTACCTAATGTACAATCTGCTTATTTAAATTAATAAGAGCGACTGTTTCCAAAGTGTGTTTTCTCTAACACTTGTAATTGTGACAGTTATATTGTATTTATTTATTAAGAAAAGAAAATAGCATTTAACAGCATTGATTAAAGATTGTAGTTCTTAAAAATAGAAATTCTCCCTAAAAGTGTCCAAGTGGGCAGTATTTTTTTAAAACAATTATATAATCTGAAATTAGCTTCTTTGTATAAAATCTTGCTGAAAGAAACATGAATTCTGCAAAATATTACTAAATGCCATCTCTCCTGATTTTCATGTACTATTGTAATTCAAAATATCCAGGGCTACATGACTGCTTTAATACATGTGTACACAAAATATGGCATTTATATCTAGAAAAATCACCTTGGGAAAGGAAAAAATAAAACAAATGCAGTTTATTCAAATTAGAGATGCCTTTTTATAGACATTTGTAGAGCATTAAAGGCGAGTATGTGCAGATTAGTAGATCAAATAAGTATATTATTGCAAATATTTTTCTTTGGGCAGCAGAAGTGGCAAATATTCTATTTATGATTGGCAAAAGATATCAGCTTACAGCTGATATCAGCTAAGAGAAAGTAAGGTTCTAGGTTATAGAGCAATCTTGTTTCTCAGAGAGAGAAATACTTTTACAAGAGCCTCCTTCCAAAACTAAATTGCTTGTTGTTTCAAATATTTTGGCATCCATATTTCAAACACAGGCTGCCTTTCTTTTCCATCCCAGATCTAAGCTCTGACATAGAGAAGCCTCCCCAAAATACAAATGATGAATCCGTAACAGCTTAAATATTACCATGAACAAATTGGAGAGGCAATGTGAGAAGACCACCATGTCAAAACACTGATTGTGACTACCCAAAAGAGGAACAAACGTGGGATTGGTGATAACAGAAGCCATCTTTTGCATTGGGCCTTCAGGCCTGCCATATTTACTACTGTGGGGAACTGGGAGGGGGGATTGTATAGAGCCAGGGTGATATATAGTCATAATAACATTCCTTTCTCAGAGAGTCAAGGACATCTTGCCCTGCCCCTGGAGGGCTGGAACTGGGAGGCATCTCCAGTTGGGATGGTGCTTGGATTGGACCATGTGATGGACATGTGGGTGCTGGGCAGAGACTTGGACTTTCCTTTGTGTGGGGAAAACCTGGAAGCTTTCAGATTCAGGTTTTCTCAGATGTGACAATATGACATCTCTAATAAAATGGAACTTTGAGGAAACTCAACTCTCTGAATTTTCTTTCATCGGGGTTGTTACTTGGAACCATGACACTCAGCATAATGCAGCGGTGGGCTGCTGCTGGTTCAGGCAAACCGGTAGTTCCAACCAGCATTTGGGTCCACCCACGTGCCCTGGTGCTGTCACGTCCTATATAATCGCCAGTTTTTCAATGCCGCGTGCATGTGCGCGCAAGAGCGAAGCTAGAGTGTGCGTGCACACGCTCACATTTTCAGTTCTGGGCGAACTGGTTGTTACAGTATGTGACGCCCACCTCTGGCATAATGGTGACTATCCTTGCTGGACTGTCTACAGGTAGTCCATTTGTTCAGTGACCATTCAAAGTTGCAATGATGCTGAAAAAGGTGATTTATGACTGTTCTTCACATTTAGAACCGTTGCAGCAACTCTAGGTCACATGCTCAAAATACAGACACCTGGCAACCAGCATGTGCTTACGCCGGTTGCAGTGTCCCAGGGTCATGTGAACACCTTTTGCAACTTTCTGGAAAGCAAAGTCAACAGGAAAGCCAGATTCACTTAACAACCATGTTATTAATTTAACAGCTTCAGTGATTCACTTAACTGTGGAAAGAAAGATAATAAAATGAGGCAAAACTGTCTTGTTTAGCAATGGAAGCTTTGGACTCAGTTGTGATCATAAGTAGAGAACTATCTGTATTAGCGATTTATCACTTTAAAGGGTGGACTTGTGGAGGGTGGAATGGTTTGTTTGAAACTGCCACTTCTTTACCTGTAATGTTGGCCTATCTAATGATGTTATCAAGTATGTTTACAGAAGGACAGGTGTGGCTTGAAAAGCTATCCTTTGGGCTATGACTGGGACATATTGATAACTCTCTATGTTTCCAAGCTTTGGTTATAAGACCCAGGGGTTTGTGAGCAATTTAGAGGGAGAATTGCTAAAATATTTGAAATCTGATCAGGGAAAACTTGAGCACCATTAATATTTATTCTGAGTTTTACCTGTGCAAGCATGTAAAGTTTTAGAACCTCTGCAATACATAGATTAAAACTGTAAACATTGAAAGTAGATGGTAAATTGATTTCTGGCCCAATCCTAATCTAATGAGATCATTAAATTTATCCTATGAAATGTTTGTTAAAATTCATTTCTCATTTTAGGGGGACATCAGTAGCACAAAACATGAGAACTCCTGCAGTAACTAATTGAAAGCTGGATTCTATTCTGAAGTCCCTATAAAATGCAACTTTAATGGATTAGAGTAATCCCGCACTATGAAGACTACAAAACATCTTCATTAGTTACCTTCGTTCTTTGTATTCCAAAAC